TTGTCTGATTACTCAAGGTTATCTGTATACAGACAATTGTGTCTGCATAAACAGACACATGTATCAAAGGGATAAACAAAAAACGTGTACATCAAACACTTTTGTTTAAAAAGTGCTTTTCAAAAGTGAATCTAATGAAAATGTATAATGGTGAAAATTGGCAATGTTTAGAAAAAAGTGATTTTCAAAGTGTTTCTAAGTTAAATTAAACACTTTAAAATTGGCAATGTTTAAAGAAAAGTACTCCCTCCGTCCCAGGGAGAAGTTCCCGGGTTGACTTTCACACATTTTTAGGAAATAAAGTTATTGAGGGGTAAATTTTACTGTTTTGCACTGTTTCGACACTGTTTGGCACTGTTTCGACACTGTTTGGCACTGTTTGGCACTGTTTGGCACTGTTTTAATGTAGGATAACTTTCCATTTAGGGAAATGGGAAGTTTCTTTTGGGACATCCAAATAAGGAAATTGGGAACTTCTCCCCGGGACGGAGGGAGTATATATTTTCAGTTAATATAAAAAGTGAAAAACATTTTGACCTACCAAGGTGCTTTCAACTTTTGTACAAAAAAAAGTTGCATTCAACTTCTAATTTTAAAGTGTTTAATTTAACTTAGAAACACAAAATTCAGCATATTTAATTAATTTAAAGGTAAAAAAAACTGAAAATTCTTTTTGATATGTGGCGAGAAAGACTTTAATAGCTAGAAAAAACTGAATTGCCAATGATTACTACCGGAGTACCGGCACGACTATGTGATAGCAAAGATCGATGCCGGAGGAGCGACCAGGATGAGTAGGCGACCAGAAAAGCAAAACAGGTTGGTTCATCCTACGTCTGCCTCACCAACTTCGATGGAGTTTTATTCGTTACTTCGTTTTAAACTTCTAGGTGACATGAGCTACCAGAGATTCTTGGTAGGCGTATGATTCAAATGGATTGTTATTTTGTTATTTTGTTAGTTGTCTTCTATGGTTATTCTTTCTCAGGCACTAGCGCTTTAAGAAACTATTTTGGTGTCCCGGCTAGCTTCGCCTGGTCACAAATTTCTACTTACCTTCTTTTGGGTTACATAGAGAATGATAGAAGCATAAAAAGTGCTTTTTATTCCACGTGTTTCTACGTTTTTCAAGAACGAAAGAAGAAGAATCTAGTGTTCATCCATATTGTAGCATATTGTCTTCCTCACCTCCGCGTGAGGAAGAATTTTGTGAAAGACTATATTCTAATTTTTTTCTTTAGTAGTACTCGCTTTTATTTTAGTTCGAGTATGTTTGATTGGTATATTTGGATTTTGGGATACTTTCGATACACAGTGTTTCGGTTCCAGTTGGTTTAAGCTTAAAATTGTTCATTTTGTGTCTGAGGAGTCAACTTGCTTTAAATAAGGTGACTGATTGTTGAGTCAGATGCTCTGCTTGCAGTCCAGGGAGTGCAGGGATCGGGAGGATGCTCATACGAAGCATTGCTAGGCTGCTAGCTGATGGTATTAAACACATGATATCATTATGTGTTCATTTCTGTCTAGTATGTGCGACGATCGACGAATAGAGTTGATGATGCTTCGGCTAAACAAGCTATTTTTGAGCCTGATTGTCTTTGGTTTGATTTATCATATTTGCGACCTTCTTTTGAAGCACATTTATGATTATTAACAAATTGATGTTTTGTTTTTTTAAAAAAAGTGATCATAACATTTAGCGACCACAATAGTCATTCTTCAAAATAAATAATTTCATTCACCTATGAAACATTCAAAATTTCAAACTCCCTAAATAATCACCACTTTCCGGATGCTTTGTAAGTACAATGAACCTCTTTTAGTGGCGTGATTTGAAATGTATTGTTCAATTTTGGTGGGATTGAAAAACATTTATCCCCCTAATCCCCCTTATCCCCCTAGTACCTTGGCATACCTTTTGGCAGTTTAGATCATTTATTTTCAAGATGTTGAAAATCAATTCTGAAACGACAAAAAAACACAAAATTCGCCATAAAGAATTCTAATGCACGAATCCGGGATCCGACCAAATGTTGCTAATGTGATCATTATTATAGTACATTCAAATAAAATGGAATTTGCTGATTAATTGTCGGATATGTCTATTTTTATTCTCAAAAATACTTTTTTTTCTTTCTCAAAAATACTTTTTCTATTCATTTTCCTCAACCCCAATAGAATGTGAGATAATAGTTTTGGAGAATAATGGCCTACCAAAGTGGTAGCCCTAGAGGTGTATTTATATTAATGAAGAGATAAATAATTACACATAGGTCCTTAATACAATAATAATAATAATACGCTATTACACCCCCTCAATCTGTGCAGGGGAAATTACGTGCAGATTGGACCGTAAAAATTCAAAACGTTGACTAGTCAAGTTCTTCGTGAAAATATCTGCCAGCTGGTACTGAGTAGGAATATATTTGACCGAGAGATCACCATGAGCCACTCGCTCACGAACAAAATGATAATCAATTTTAATGTGCTTACTGCGGTCATGCTGTATAGGATTCACTGCAAGATAGGATGCTGAAACATTATCACAAAATAGCTGAACTGGGTTAGGAAGTACGATGCCCATATCGTACAGGAGTGAGCGAATAAATAAAGTATCTTGGACTGTATAGGCAACAGCACGGTACTCAGCTTCGGTGGATGATTTGGAGACCGTGGGTTGTTTCTTGGAACGCCAAGACACTAAATTTCCTCCTAGAAAAATTGCATAACCTGTAGTAGAGCGGCTTGTATCCGGACATCCAGCCCAATCGGCATCAGAATAGGCGACAACAACAGAGATATTCTGCCCGGAACGAAGCCATAAACCATGTGTGGAAGTACCCTGCAAATACCTGTAAATTCTTTTCACAGCAGCAAGATGAGTAGTACGTGGTGCATGCATAAACTGAGAAACTAGGTGAACGGCATAAGTAATATCTGGTCGGGTAATTGTCAAATATTGTAACGCACCTACCATGCTGCGATACTCAGTACCGTCACTAAGGAGCTCACCATCAGTGAGGGATAATGTAGTGCGAGACGGAAGAGGGGTACGCACCGGTTTAACCGTATGAAGGTGAAACCGGCGAAGAAGATCAGTGATATATTTTTGTTGAGACAAGAAAAGACCACTAGGAGTTCGGCGTGCCTGAATACCAAGGAAGAAATGTATATCACCAAGATCCTTCATGGCGAACTGGGTAGACAAAGTTCGTATAAAATGATGGACTAGAGATGGTGAACTGCCAGTGATAAGAATATCATCTACATATAAGAGAATGTAGAGAGTGTGAGAAGAAGATCGTAAGATGAACATGGAGGAGTCTGATCTACTCTGGGTAAAACCAAGTGACAAAAGAAAACCACTAAACCGATGAAACCATGCTCTAGGTGCTTGTTTGAGACCGTAGAGAGCTTTACGAAGACGACAAATATGGTGAGGAAACTGAGGGTGAATGAACCCCGGAGGCTGGCGCATATACACCTCTTCGGTGAGGTTACCATGGAGGAATGCATTTTTGACATCTAATTGACGAATAGTCCAACCCAAGGAAATAGCAACAGAAAGAACAAGACGAACAGTGGTGGGTTTAACAACAGGGCTAAAGGTCTCAGAAAAATCAACTCCAGCTTGTTGGTTAAACCCTTGAGCAACCAAACGTGCCTTATGGCGCTCAATAGAACCATCAGACTTATATTTTGTTTTATAAACCCATTTACAGCCAACTACATTTTTCCTCAAGTCACTAGGTACTAAATCCCAAGTTTTATTGGCAATTAAAGCATTAAATTCTTCTGCCATTGCTGCCCGCCATACTAAAGATTTATTAGCTTGAGTAAAACATGTAGGATCATTTGGGAGAGCTAAAGTGTTTAAATTAAAAATTGTTTTAGGTTTAAAAATTCCATCTTTAGCTCTCGTGCGCATGGGGTGAATGTTGGGAGCCATCCGAGGCGGAGAGGGTGACGGGGTAACCGAAGTACTGGAAGAAAGAGGACTGGCCGTAGGGCTGGTTGAGGGTGTCGAGCTAAGGTCGGGAAGGACAAGGGGACTGGTCGTAGATATGGACGTGGGTGTGGGACTCGGATATGGGGCTGGACTAGTGGTCGGGCTTAGTGTAGAAGGGGTGATGGATGAGGCATGATGTACAACTGGACTGACAGGAGCCGAAGCAAGCTGCTGGTCGAAGGTAGTCATGGGACGGGTAATACCTGACACAGGTGTGGGAGCAGTACGGGTGGATGTCCAAGGCAGTAAAAACGAGTTCGATGTGTGAGGAGTGGAAATCAAGGTAGGATAGGGAAAAGTGTTTTCATGAAAAATAACGTCCCGGCTAATGTATACACGCCCTGTCCGGGGATCCAAACAACGATAACCCTTGTATCCCGAAGCATACCCCAGAAAAACACAAAGAATAGACCGTGGGGAAAGTTTATTGGAGGAAGAGGCAATAATATTAGGAAAACAAGCGCATCCAAAAACGCGCAGGAAACTATAGTCAGGTGGTTTTTGAAACAGTTTCTCGAACGGAGACACATTGCCCAAAACAGGAGTTGGTAACCGATTTATAATAAAAGTGGCTGTATATAGGGCATCAACCCAAAAAGAATTCGGCAGACTAGCATCAATTAGCATAGTCCTAGCCAATTCAAGTAAATGGCGATGTTTCCGTTCTGCCACTCCGTTCTGAGCAGGTGTATCCGGACAAGATTTTCTAAAAAGAATTCCACACTTAAGAAAATGGTTGTGAAAAGTGGTATTAACAAACTCACCTCCTCCATCACTCTGAAAACATTTAATTTTTGTATTAAATAAATTTTCAACTAAGTTTTGAAAATTACAAAAATGCAAAAATACTTCAGACTTTCTATGCATGGGATAGACCCAAGTGAACCTAGAAAAATCATCAATAAAAGAAACATAATATTTGAAACCTAAATTAGAAAGCACAGGTGATTGCCAAACATCAGAATGTATTAGCTGCAAAGGAGCTGAAAAACCATGAATAACATCTGTAAAGGGAAGACGGTGGGACTTGCCCAGCGTACAAGACACACATTTATGCGAAAATAAACTAGAACTAGTAATAAAATTATTTTTCCTAAGTGTAGACAAAATACGATCCCCACAATGACCAAGTCGTTTATGCCAAACTGGACCAGGTACAAGTGCTGTCTTGAAGGTCAGAAACGGGGCAGGTTGATGGATAGCTGTGAAGGGATAAACGCAGTCTTTATTGGTTGCTTGAAGAAGGATGGCCCCCGTGTGGTTGTCCTTAACAAAAAAAGAATTTTTATTAAAAATAACTGAGCAATCATTATCCGCACATAAACGTTGGATAGATAACAAATTATATTTAAGCTGCGGAACATGATAAACTCTATTCAGTACAAGTGGGCGGCCAGAAGTAGTTAAATTAATTGTGCCAATATGAGAAACTGGAAGATTTTTGCCATTAGCAACTTGAATAGAATGTGAGCCACTATAAATAGATTTATTCAATAAAATACCTTCTGATGGAGTCATGTGAGCTGAAGCCCCAGAATCAGGGTACCATACAGATTCATTTGATTCGCCTGTGGGAAGAGCCACCAAAGCTGGAGCAGACGGGTTGACATAACGAGGACAGGCCAAAGCAGAATGACCAGGAGAGAAGCATATTTGACAAACTATGGGTGGTGGGGGGGACTGAAAATTATCAACTGATGGAGAACCTACCAAGTTAGGATGAGTAACACAAGCAGATAAAGCATTAATATTGGCAACAACACAACCAAAATTACCTAAAACCGTACCTTGAAACCCAGGAGCATGTGGTGCACGTGGAGCAAAAGCTGGAGGAGGATTCTGCCAGCCAGGTGCACCATACCCCGGAACGGGAGGTCCACGAAGCTGCTGGTAAGGCTGGCCAGCGTACTGCTGATGATTCTGGCCTCCATAACCGCGCCCCCTGCCACGGTGTCCGCGCTGCCTGCCGCTATTTCCACGATAACCGCGGCCACCACCATTCCCGCGGAATTGCTGGTCACCTCCACGACCAGCCGGGCGCTGAACTGCTGCAGCGGCCTGTTCTGCCGCACCAAAGGCCTGGTGACCGGGATGAATGTTCTGAGAACGAAGATAAAGTGCTCTTTGTTCAAGAGCCAGAAGCTGTGGGCGTAGACTGTCAATAGTGAAGTTGTCCGGGAACAATGTGATGGAAGTGATAAGGGATTCGTACTCCGGGCCGAGTCCTTGAACTGTGGCAAGTAAGAGCTCTCGATTGGTCACTGGGGAATTAATGGAGTTGAGTGAATCAGCTAGATTTTTGATATCCCTCAAATATTCATCCATGCTTTGAGATTCTTTCTTTTTGAGATTATTCAAACCGCGCTTGAGTTCCATAGCACGAGCAATGCTCTCGGCCATAAACCGTGTCTCCAAGCGCTCCCAAATAGGAGCAGAAAAATGGAGATCCCGAACTTCAATTAAAATATCCCGGGAAAGAGTAGCAAAAAGCCATGAGCGTACGGTTTGATCAATACGCAGCCAATAAGTATAATCAGGATTAGTGGCACCCCGAATAAGAGCAGGCGGAGCCGAGAGTGAGCCGTCCAGAATCCCGATTAATCCATGAGAAACCAAGAACGATTCAAATTGCGTACGCCACGAAAGATAATCCTCAACGGTGGCGAGGCGTGTTGTGACTATATTGGTGACGTTAGGTGTCGAAAAAGACAGCTGGGAAAACAATTGAGCAAGCGGACTGGAGTTTACCGGTGTGGCTGCCGTGCGGAAGACGGGAAGCGGATCAGACGTTGAAAGCAATGGATTTGCAGTCCACGTCGGGCCAGAGAAAGCTGGTAAGACAGAGGAAGAAGCACGAGCCGGCGACGCAGATGGGGTCAGCACTGGTGGAGGAGGCAGCGACGGGATCGTAGATGTCCAGGTGAATGGCTCCGGCATATTAAAATTGTTGTAAGAGTTAGGAGGCGGAAGCTGCATTCGTGATGAAAGACCAGGCGATATAGCAACGCCGGAAGAGGGCGGCTCCGAGATAACGGGCGCCATAGATGAGACCGCGGCAGAGGAAGTGATTGGCCATGAAGCATGTGGCTGCTCCGAGGTAGCGGGCGCCGAGGAAGAAGGAATTGCGGTCGACATGGAAAAAGAGGTTTAAAGAACCCTAGCGACTGATACCATGTGAGATAATAGTTTTGGAGAATAATGGCCTACCAAAGTGGTAGCCCTAGAGGTGTATTTATATTAATGAAGAGATAAATAATTACACATAGGTCCTTAATACAATAATAATAATAATAATACGCTATTATAGAATAGGGCTTCCAGTGAATTTGGCTGTCTTCAGGTGGTCCGGGTGTAAATTTCTACAGTTCATGAAATGTTAAAAGTAGCCAAGTCTAATTGACAGGACAAATTTTGTCCACTCTTATAATTAGGGGATAAAAATAATCAAATTTATCAATCTTCGTACAAGCTAGAATTATTCTTCTTAGATATGGGAACTATAAAGTGATAAATATGCAAGATTAGACTTCAATCAAGTGCTTAGATGCTAACTTTATAGATCATATATGCTGCTAAACAGCTTAAGACTAGGTAAAAGGGTGGCTTAATAAATTATTAATAGTGGTAGTACAAGGCATCTGAACATCATCTTCTCTTTTCACTTTGTTGTTTTGGATGAAAGAAAAGCGGCTTCTCTTTTCACATGTCGGCCACTAATTATGTTAAAATTTTCACAATCTGCATTGTCATTACCACGTATTCTTCATAAACTTTCTCACATAACTACATAAAGTATACAAATATTTTAGTCCGAGCTATAATAATCCATTCCATGCTATGTGAGAGTAATGTCAAAAGCAAAAAAGTGTATATCAGACTATCAGTTATCACTTTCGCAGGTTTGAAAACAATCTTCAACTGCAATATAGAGTTAATGGAACAGAAAACAATCAGTTAATCCAGAGTCCTTCTCTATCATGGCTGGCTTTATGTGGTTGGCTTGAAAGGTTTTTATTATTAGGGAAAAGTAAATCACTAACAAAAAAAGTGCAAATCACTATTGATATAGAAGACTCTGTCCGGCCGTCGCCATGTCGGTTCCTGGTGGAATTTTTTGATGAAATTTTTTAAACATCTTCTACATTAAGTCTAGTTTCCCATACCAAATTTAAGCTAAAAATTCAACTGCGAAAGCAGTCAAATGATTTTCTGAAATATATTACGCTGTTTAACTGCGCTGTTATGTTCAAAAATTCATTTGACTGCCTTTCTGATTGAATTTTTTGCTGAAATTTGGTTTGTGTAAACTAGAATTAATGAAGAAGGTGCTCAAAATATTTCATCAAAAACTTCCACTGGGAACCGCCCCAAATGGAGACGGCCTGACCGAGCCTCCTATTTAAATTTGCACTTTTTTGGTTAGTTTGAGAGCTTATTTGCTACTTTTCCCTTATTATTATTGAAATGTAAAGAGTATGTATTACAAGAGTTTTTGTCACTTTCATTCATCCGATGACTATCGTGTCAATGAAACTTTTGATACTCAACTTTCAAGTTTTTCACTTTTGGTCCTTTAACTATTATGCGAGAGACACTTTAAGTCCCCGGCTTCAGAATTTCACACATTTAGTCCCCTGAGTATTATCAAATTGACACTTTTATTTCTATCGCTCTGATTTTGCCACAAAAAATGAAGGACTACAAATATCACAAATATAATAGTTAAAGAACTAAAAGTGTCACTTTTATGAAAGTTTTTGAAAAGCTAAGGGAAATATGGAGAATTTCAAAGATACACACCAAAAGTATTTCCAACAATAGTCAAAAAGTTGAAGTGAAAAAAATCAAAGTCGGGTATCAAAAGTGTTAGTGACATAATAGTCGGAGGACTAAAAGTGATACCCCTCAAAATAGTAGAGCAACATCTACTCTATGAATATGCCAAGTAGGTTCAAAGTAGCACAAAATAAGGTGATGGGAACTACAAAAAGTCCCAAATTAGAAATGAATCATCTCATGGAGATAGAGATTGTACAAAAATTTGCACACGAAGTGTTTACTTTTTGCAACCATCTCTTATTTATTTTCCAACACAACTTCAAACCTTGTAGCATTCTTGGTTCGCCATATCTAATAGATGTCACAACAAAAGTGATCCTCATAGTTTTGACTTGATTAGCGCCATAGCACCTTTTTGTATGCCTTTTTAGTCCATTTCCTCGAGCTAATCAAAATTGTCATTTGCCTAACCACTTCAAGCCAGTCTTTGATTTGTATCCAAACCTTGCATGAAATAGACAAAGAAAGAATAGACATGGCACAAATTCTTTATTACATTTAAACAATCCATTATATCTCATGTGGCCTGCATGCCTATTCCTGAAAATGGGCCATGTGGTAAAAAAATTGGAGGAATATATACCTTCCAAATAATTCATCAAAGTTCTCAAGGTTCCATGGGTTCCAAGCAAGTCATATACCTTTGAGGAGGAAATCTTTCCATTCGAGTGCATATATTTTCCCTAATCAAGGCAAGCGCCTTTACTAGCTAGTTGGGAATCCCACGAGTCTGGAGTTGAAGGTCAACACATCACGACCTCTAAGACAAGTATTATTCCTAATCAATAACATCATACATTGTGACCTCCCTATTGTGTTTGAATCTCTTCATGAGATATTATTCCTAGATCAATAACTTAAGCTTCTTGCAACACATTCTACCATTTTGAATACAAAAAACTGTGTTGAATATGGCTCCTATGGTGGTCATGGTGGAAAAATCCCCTTAGGACAATCATGGTGATCACTACTTTAAATCTTAACCCTATGATTATTGTTAGGTTATTGGAGCCCATCTTCCTTCTTCAGAGCGGAATGTGGGGGCATTTGTGTTCATCACATCCTATGCATGTTTGGTCATTAAAGATTTTCATCAATATCTCATGGTTACATTCAATGAAACATTTAGCCCATTGATCTACCTTCTACTACTTGGATTGTTGTTTCTATTGTGGTTAGTCACTTCTGGCTACTTTGGGAACATGATGCTAATAATATCTCCCCTTTTCAAGGGATGTCAACATGAGCAAGTTTTGTAAGGTTTAGTGAGAAAAAGAAATATAATTATGTCTTTTTATTGCATAAGGCTATTTATTATTTGAAATAGACATCTTGTGCATGGTACCATGAACTTCAAGAGTTCTCACTTTTGCTTCGTTAGTATATCCCAATGAATTGAACTGATGCTTAACCTGTTTGGAGTCACTGCTACATTGAGGATCCCTTCACCCGATTTAGAATGGGAGCTGCCCTGCTAGTTTGTACCCCTATAAAAACAACTAGCAAGACTTGGTTTTATGGTGGGGAGATACTCTTGTATGCCCAAGAGTTCTCGGAGAATCAGTCATATCTTGATCTTACTCAACTGGATCTTTCTTTTTCCATACGCAACCTCTTCAAGTACATGCATCAATAGACCTTAGACCATTGGAAAGCCTTCTAGCTAGCGCCTCGTTAATTACCATTATAGAAAATTTGACCAAAGTCCCTCTTACTTGGACATGAAATCCCCATCAACTTCATGTCTTTTCTAATGTTGATGAAGTCAATGAAATGGATGATTACTCTTCCTCTGACACATGAATTATTATTTCACGGAGCTCTAACAAATAACACACTATTATTTGCTCATCGGTTGACATTGAATATCAGTTTGTTGCCTACACCACTGCTGATATAGGATCCAACAGAGATAACACCAAGTTCATTTAATGAAATTGTGAGACCATACTTCAAATGTAAATGAGACCCAACGTTGGTAAAATAAAAGCACTATGGAGGAATACTTTCAAGACTTATGTAGTTTGTAAGCATAAAACTAGTGTAAATAATTTGTAATTTAGATCAAAGCTTCTACATCAAAGCACAATTGTATAAGACTTTGTGACTAAATTAAAACACATTGTACACTAATCGATTAGCTAATTAACTACAAAATTGCAGATGATAAACTAATGTGTTGCATTTAAAACCTACCTTGTACATCTTAGTCGATCTCTTCTACAACTTTTTATTGGTCTTGGTGATTGTTAAACTTGTTGCCTCAATATTGAGATTGTCATATTCTTACAGGGATATCAAGATCATATTATAAATGAAATTAGAAGAATAAGAATTAGAATGAATTCATTTAATTTAACTTTGATTTAATAAAAGTTCACGAGCTCTACTGTTATCTACACGCTCACGAACATATCATTGGCAGGTGGTGTATGTGATAGCACTCTCTTTTTCATGTATCTCTCTCTTTACACAATCACATTGTGTGTGGATGTACTAATTTTGATGGTTGTACTCTCTCCTGAAGTAGTGAAAGACTCATGGTGGAGTATATAGGTTTGGCCGCCTAGACCTAATTTCACGTGGGCTTAAGAGAACGAATGGATGAAAGAAATTTAAGAACCAACGAATGTCTTAATGATATGAGAATTAGTAGAACTTACTCGTCTAGATGCATCATGCTTATTAGGTAATAGTGGCAAGTCATGCAAGTATATGTTTTGAATGTTATTGAAAATTATTATGAGAAATAATTTTCCTAAATATAAGTAAGATTATTTAAATTTTCAAAATATACGAATACTTTGATTTTTTCTTAATAAGAGTAATACTATTATGTTTGGAAACTATGACATTATATTGTCATATTATTCTATGAAAAAATATCACAACATATCAGTATGATTTGAATTCAGGATTATAATAATTAACTCTTGTTTAAGGAAAAAAACATAATATTCATATTTTGGAATTTGACATCACTGATATTTGTATTTTGAGAAATTTCTTATGCCAATTACTTATCATTAAACTTTGGAACAATAATGTTTTTTGGACCAATATAATTGAAGTAGATTAACTTTTTCAACACCAAAAAACTAGCAAGTAGGGCTAATAGTAACAAATAATGTACAAATAGTACAACATATAAATTCTTATATTTATTCTACACACGTACTTTGCGTGTTCACGCAAACACCCTTGAATAAAAGGCATATTCGATATCAATGTTAATTACGAAACATGAATCACCACATTTTATTTGGGGAATGGTTGTCATCCGTGACTCCGATCCTGCCAATTAAGAAGAAAAG